CATTTTGGGCAAAATGACCTTCCAGCTCTTCCCCGATGCCCCTAACGTACCTCTCTTGATCCACTCTCAAAAAGGCACTAGCAGAGCGAGACAGCTCCCTGTGCAAGACATGGTTCCCATCCAGTCTGGCAGCACGACTCATCTCACAGTGTCTCGTCTGAGACAACACGCCTCCTTCGCCGAGGTCGGACCCCAAGGCAATCCTCGGCAGCTGACAGAGTTCCTTGCTTAAAGGTATCCCATAGTTCAGCAGGGTCCTGTAGAGTATCAAGCACTTCAAACCGATTTAAGACTGCCACTGCATACTCCTGAGCCACCTTCTCACTCTTGAGCCTCTCGAGATGGAACACCTGCTGGTGATATCTAGGGATACGTCTAGATCTGAGGCGGAGCCTTAGTGTTGCGACAAGTCTGTGGTCGGTAGCAAAGAACTCAGCACTCCTAAAAACTCTACTGTTCTGAAGGATCCTCCAGCGAGTATCCACGAGAATATGGTCGATCTCTTTAGCTACAACGCCAGTATTGGAGTACCAAGTCCAGCGGTGTAGATCTCGTCTCTGGTACCACGAGCCCGCAATCCTCAGCCTCCTAGATCTTGCGAAGTCTAAGAGGTATGAGCTATTGATGATCCTAGTACCAGAGCCATAGGGACCGATGCATAGCTCGTATCCTTCCCTGTCAGTGCCAGTGACTGCATTGAAGTTCCCCAAGACCATGAGGGTGTCCCCCCGGGGACATTGATCCACTATAGAGTCAAGTTTGGCGTAGAACATCTCTCTCTTCAAGCCCACTTCCCTCAGTAGGAGCGTAAACTGCCACTAGAGATATGAAGCCCAAAGTGTGCTTCATTCTCACAAGCAGAATACGCTCAACAGGGGTAACCTTCTTGACTGAGGAACGGAAGTGGTCAGAGACAGCCACCGCGACTCCCTTAACCCCTTGGTGCCGGGTATGACGTGTACGTACGTGCTATGCCCACCGTGAGTACTTGTTTGATTGTTTTTACGCATAGATGGTTTTTACGCATAGAACTCCCCAATGAGCCAGTTACGAGCACCGCCCGTCTCGCCCGTTTACCCGTTTCTTTGATTTACAAAATATTTTCCGTAATCTTATTTTGCTGTTACTAATGTAAAAAAAAAAATATATAAAAATTATAATGTTTATGATAAAAATAACACCATCGATTTTCATTGCACTAGTGAAAAATACGTTTTTCCCGCCATTTAAATCAGGCGCTAGCAGAGCCATCTATCGGCAGACATTTCACGAAAAACATAGAAAGTGGGCACAATATTTTCCCCATTTTTTGTTCATTTTCCCCGGCACCATTGGGTTAAGGCGCGCACCATTGCTACAGCCAAACCAGTAGTAGGTATAACCCCCACTACTGGTCTCACCACTACCAGGCCGTCGCACCTCAGAGAGAGCAGCGATGGCAATCCCCAGCCTCCCCTGCTCCCCCGACAACAAAGGCAGTCGATCATCCTCCGAGAGATTGAGGATGTTCCAGGCCGCTACACGGCACGCTCGCCGCAGATTGACTCCATTTGTGGGGCTCCGACCGGGCGACGCCTCGGCACAACCAGGTATGCCTCCCAAGGAGGAAGAGTGGGGGCAACCCCCCCCCCCCCCCACCCACCCACCACATAACCTCAGGGTGTAGGATTCCCTGGGAGGGCTTTGCCCTGCACCCGTCATAACAGGCTCGTTGTCCTGATCAGGTCAGGGCGCCGAGCCAGAGATCAGGAACCCCTGGCCGCAAATCGGGGTCGGAGTCACCTCCTCCAGGATGGCTCTGACCCTTTCTCTTCTTACTTGTTTTGCCTGCTGGTAAAGATTTTTTTACGGGACCGGGTTGCCAGCCTGACCCCAACAGCTAGCTAGGGGCAGGGATGCAGAACTCCCTGGGGAAAGATTGCCCCTGCTATATATATATAATATATATATATATATATATATATATATATATATATATATATATATATATATATATATATATCAACCTATCCATATATATATTTATACATATACATATGTATATTTATATATACATATATATCTATATATATACATATACATATGCATACTCTCAGAATGGTCAGATGCCTTCAATGCCACGCCCTCAAACTAACAGGGGTGACCAATGAGGGCGGTGTGCCCATGGCATAACCGCCATACTTTCGACTTTTTGACCGCCACCTTGACCCGTACAAACATTCTGCTTCAAGTCACTGCCTCGCTACATCTGCACAAATCGGCCCCTTTAACCTCCGTCCACGCTATGTTACCATCAACATTCACCACCAATAAACAATGCAACCATACCGTCGCCGCCGGCGAAAATAAATAAAAAATGGAGAAAATGCTGTGCTCATTTTTTATAGTTTTTGTGAAATGTCTCTGCACATAGATAACTCTACTAATGCTTAGCCACAAAGGAGTCAATTAAACCTTGTGATCTTACCTGGTTTGAATCAGCGGGAAAAAAACATAGTACTATGAATATCGATGGTGTTATATTATAAACATGAATGAGGAAAACACTCTACCGTGTTGATACTATGGTAGAAAAACTCGCAATGTAAAAACTGGATTTATTGAAAATGAGACCATCCAGTTTTTACATTGTGGGTTTTTCTACCATTATAAGCATTATAATTACTATAATGTTATAAACATAAGTAACAGCAAATAAAATAACGTAAAATATTTTCGTAAAATCAAAGAAAATGGTAAACGGTCGAGACAGGCAGTACTTGTAATTGGCTCATTGGTGATTTAGCACAAGTGTAGCCATCTATGTATAAAAACAATTAAACTAGTAAACTCATGTGGGCATGGCATACACGTACACGTCATGCCCGTCGGCAATGGGTTAAGTCAACTATCCCCCTGACAAATTGGTGGTCTCTCAAATATACATTCTATGTATATATGTGTGTATAGTATATCAAATCAGTATTATATGCCTGCGTGGCCCCCACGTGGAGGCTTGAAGTGGCCACGTGGTGTACATATGGCTACCCAATGCGGCGTGCCCCAGCGCTGGGGGCGGTCCTACTCGCCCCCCCCCCCCAAACAAGCGTCTCGGATACTTAAGGGCCGCGTTTCGACCGGTCAGCAGAGTGTGCTTGGTGCGGTCTAGGTCACGTCTGACCTGGGCTGGGCTCGCCAGTGACCCCGGGCGACCCTCCAGCCGACCGCCCAATACCCAAGTGTCATCTTGTGCTTATTCTCTGTGTGCTAGCTCTATCAATAAAAGAGTTTTTAGCCACTAAGCTTTTACTACTTCCCTGTCATCAATGTTTAAGAGGTGTTTATATAACCCTTACAGTGTGTGTGTGTGAATAAACATATATATATACATATACACATATATAATAAATACATGAATATATGAATAAATATATGTATACATTTATATGTATATGTAAATACATACATACATACATACATATATATATATATATATATATATATATATATATATATATATATTGATATTTATACACATACATATATGTGTATATATATATATATATATATATATATATATATATATATATATATATATATATACATATGTATATATATATACACACACACACACATTCCCCTGAAAAGAGCTGCTACTACCCTTGATCTGGGTAACTGGGTTACCTTTAACTTAAGAACCTATGTGCCTAAGTCACTTCAGTACTACAAGTGCCAAAAATATGGTCACTACTGGGCTAGCTACATGACCAAGCCCAAATGTGGTGTCTGCAGCAAGGCCTTGTATGCCTTGAGGCATACAAGGAAGAACGAAGGGACACAACAGCCAAATCTCCCAACTGTGCCAAGAGGCATCAGGCCTGGAGCCTGGCTTGCTATGTCAGGAAGGAGGCGGTCCTCAAGCGACACTGGATATCTCCAGTGAAAATGAATTTGCGTCTATTCCAAAAGTGCAGAAAAAAGAACCAGAAGAATAAAGGTTTAAAGAGCACTGTAAAAGCCTCCCCAAGAGACGATAATCTCTTTGACGAGGAAGATATAACTCTCCTGCTGACTGTTGTAGTCACTGCAGTAGCAACAGCTTTGGGAAGTTCGAGTGAGGAGCCAGAGAAGGCAGTCACGGTAGCCATGACGGCAATGACCCAGACTGTTGCAGTCCAGAAGGAAAGGAAGCTGGGCAGAGCCAAACCAGCCCCACCATCACCCCAGGACGAGACTCCCATACCCACTCCAAACCTGGTCATGCTCTCACAGACAGAACCAAACCAGGATGAATCTGTGCAGTCAGTGCCAGAACAGGCTGACCTTACCCAGGTGAAGCCAGCAAAGAAAACGAAAGACACACAAACAAAGCCTGAAGTGAGAAAAGCCAAACCAACAAAAGTCAGAGGT